GGTGTTGGACATCACTGACAGTGGTATAGTGACAGTAATGTTTTCTTCACTGAATGGAACCATTGACTTAGTGATCAGGAAAGATCCCTGGACTCTGTCCATAACCACAGAGGCCTTTGTCTTAGAGTCTTGAGGATGGCTGTCTTTGAACCTAGGTCCTCTCCCTCATTTCCTCTCTTCTTTATTTCCCCTTTCCTTCCCTCCACCTCCAACACATAAGAGTTCCTTTATATCAGGAATCTGGTTGGAGCATTAGTCCTCTCTAATCCTTCCAGTTCCACCCTTAGAGGGAGGAAAGGGCTCTGATCTGGATGTGGAGGAGCAGAGGCAGAGGTGACCTTGACAATGGTCTTGCCATGGGGTGACTGTCTAAAAGGCCATGGTGAAGATAGTAACCTCTCACCAGTATACAGCTTCTAAGTCTTAGGCTAAGAGTTTGTTTTCCTCCCACCTTGAGTGATGATTTCTAGCACTCCCTTTCTTCTCCATGAGGGTGGGGGAATAAGGGGAAGACCATATTCTGTCTCTCCTATATGGAGTTTCTACAGCCCATTTGCACCCACCTATATGGAGTCTCTGCTTCCAGGGGCATAGTTGGCAGGGAAAAAGCTAAAGAGTAAGGAGTCACTATGGGGCAAATCATTCACAGGACAAGCAGCTCAAGGACAGTGTCAAGCTTAGTGATGGGCTGTTACAGAGCGTTCACACAGAAATGGTCTCACTGGAACTCAGGCAAGGAGATTAGAATACACTCTGAACCAGCCTGGTGCCCTCTCCAAACATGGCCTGGGCTCCCCACCCTCTAGCGCATCTGTTGTCTTAGGGAACATGTAGCCTCTGCCTCTGCCTCTGCCTCTGTCCTCTTCAGATCCTGTTCTTGCTCTCCACCCATTTCTTGGACTTTATGTTTCAGACTTGCCCTCATTCCCACCTTGCTGGAGACATGGGGTCAGATACACCATTTTCCTAATTCCTGAACCTAAAGCCCAGTTGTACTCTGCGCTCCACCCTTATACCACACCAAACCTGTACTCTAGGTACCAGTCCATGCCAGAACTTCCTTCTACACTTCAACTTCCAAACTCCATTTGTCTGAGGAGTCAGGCTTGCTAGCCAATATACTTGCAGCCTCATAAACACAAGTAGGAAATCTAGTAAAAGGCAATATAGACTTTCCTAGAATTTCAAAATATTTTCGGAGCCCTTAAAATCATTAATGTTATTCCCCCATCCACTTATATATTTCTATTTATCTAAACTTTGGAGTACTCAATGCAAGAACTCTTTAGTTGGATATCTGTAATTGTCACACGGAGCAAAGAATTCTTCAGCAAAAATCAATAAATAGGTGCTATTCGTAAGTGAGGTGGAGCATGTTAGTATAAAGGAAATGTGAGTTTCTAGTAACTAGTGACCACAGATCATTTAGCTCAAGAAAACTGAAAAAAAAAATAAACCAAATTTACTTCCATTAATTTCACCTAAAATAGACAAGTATAAACCAACATAACATTTTTTGTTAGTTTATCTAAAGTTTACAATAATGTTTGAAAAAGAGATAAAAAATTGCAATCAATAATGTTTTTCACTTCAACAGGCCTTTTAATCCCCAGCCAAAGGAGGCAGCAGTTTCACAGCACTGGTTAGAGAAGACAGATAAGGTTCACACATGTGAGTACACACACACACACACACACACACACACACACACACACACACACTTCGCCCCCACCCCCATTCCCACCCCCACCCCCAGTTGGGAAAGTGGAGTGATCTTTATCAGAGTGGAGATATCTTGCATCTTCATCAATTTCTAGGTGCTTCAGTTTTGGGAGCAAATAATTCTAAAGATTCAATTGCCCTTCAGAAGGGAAAGTGGTCAAAAATCTACTAAAAATAGCAGGTAAAAATCTGTTAATGACTGGTTTTTGTTTATAAAATATCACTGGGAAGGATTTTTATGAAAATCAAGCTCAGATTTCAGACAGCATTGTGATTCTTGGAAGTTAAATTTGTGAGACAAACAGAGGTTGCTGTAGAATATAGGCAATTTGCAGGCTCGAAAGATACCAATTTTGATCCTGGTGAAATTGATTATATATGTTCCCACTGCACATCAGCTTTGTGCTAGAGTCTATTTGTGAGTTGCAAGAGAGATTGTTTTTTGACAGTGCCTTTAGTGTTTTGGTTATAAAAATGTCATCTTACATGAAACTGAACCTTCCTGTGTGTAGTTCAGGCTGTCCAGGATGGGAGTGACTGAAAAAAACGTACCATTGGTTTAGTGGTATTTTGAATTCTGATTTCTTTCTTCCATCTGCTTGTTTACATTTACCGTCTTTGAGATAGTTCTTCATTGCATTCTGTCCTGAGTATTCATCTGCATTTGGTGGAGAGATAGGTGATGAGTGCTTACTCCATCTTGACTAGAACCAGACCAGTGGACAGTTTTTAATTCCTGAATTTCTTTGTCAAATCATGCACAGAATAAACCCTAATTTATTTCACGTGATTACAAGATGAATTTAGGAAGGAGATAAGCTAGCTGAATTTAATATGATGACAGTTTAATTATTTCATTAAAAAGTGTTGCATTGCTGGTGCCAGTGGCTCGTGCCTGTAATCCTAGCTACTCAGAAAGCAAAGATCAGGAGGCTCGTGATTTGATCCTACCTCAAAAATACCCAACATAAGAAGAGCTGGAGGTATGGCTCAAGTGGTAGATTGCCTACCTAGAAAGCATGAGGCCCTAAGTTCAAACCCTAATACCACCACAACAAAAAAAGGTATATTATTTTGCTTCATAATGAACTTTAACTAAAAAAAAAAAAAATCTTAGGATTGTTTGGAAAGGATTTGGACCAGAAACATGTGCCTTCCTGCTATTTTATTTAGTGACATGGTAAACTGGACGCAGACAGCAGCTCAGAGTTACAGTGAAATCTGTATTGAAACTGATTTTATTGACATTACCAACGTGCAAAGACACAGATAAATAAATTATTCTGTTTAAGAAGTTTTAAATGCTTATGTTGTAAGTTTGATTTTGTTAAATAAAATTATTCTATTTTGGATCTTTAAATGAATTACCAGCAAAACTGGTTCTAGTACTGGTGATGACTAAGTGTGCTTCAAATGTTCCTTTTTCAAATCTATCGGGCAATAAGATTTAACTTAATAGGCTAGAGACGGGGGGAAGACACTGGTTTACTTCCCTATTTCCACTGTGTTATAATCTCAAGGCTCAATAGGCTTAAGGCTGATGAGTTTGCTTCTTCCTTTTTACTGACTTTGTGGAATTTGTGTAGCAAGAAGTAGGGTGCACATTAGAACTCCATGACTTCTACATTGTACTTGCAATGAAAGCCAGCCTCTGGGACCTGGCTAGATAGAACTGCATCAGTGGTGACATGCTCTAAAACTGTGATGATGGTGGCATAAAAGCTGGCAGGGAAGAATCCAGCAGGGATGCTCTTGGTGAATTTATAGTGCATAGGAAGACTATTACTTTTACATGTAATTTTGTTTACTAGCATTCTGACATGTATGCAGTGATGTAAGTTGTGGATTTCAAATTTTGACAAGGACAAAAGAATAGTACTTGGTGCATTTTTTTAAAGCTCTTTGAATTTATATATATATAAATATATATATATATATATATATATATACATATATATATATATATATCCATGACTGTATATGCTTTCACAACTCTCTGTGAGATTGATTAGTCATGAATGATTCCATTTGTAGATGAAGAAAACCAAAACCAAGATAACTGACTGTTAAGGGATTTGCTGAGTGCTTCACACTCACATTGCTCACAAGTCGAGACTAGGTAGGATCCAGAGCTCTTAACCTTGAGGCCAGTGCTTTCCTCCATACTACACGAGTAATGACAAGTTCATGAAGGGAATCATGGGAAGGCCTACTTTGACCTTGAATTAATTTTATACCTTAAAAAGCTATGTTTTGATATACCAAAGGGAATTGTTATTTATTAGCATCTAAGTTTTTAAATGCCTGGTGAGCCCTCCAGGAGAAAATCAATCCCAATCTCTCCCTCCCTCCCTCTCCTCTCTCACGTGTATGAAGATATTTCTACATTATTTCTAGCAGCAGAAAACTGGACTCTGCCTAAATGTTGGACAACATAGGACTGAGTAAATAAATTGGTATATATTAATATGATTTAATATTACCCAGTGATTAAAGTTAGTATAAAAATGTTTAATGAAAACAGCTTTGTAGAATGAAGCCCACAGTATGACACTATTTTTATAATTAAACATACAGAATCTGTATATTGCTCTTGGGTACATATCTGCATTTGTCCAATATTTAGAAAAAGGCTAGGAAGATACCCACCAACTAGTTGTCATGTCATGAGAAGAGTAGGATCATACAAAGGTTGCAAAAGAATTTCAAATGAATAAGGTAAAATGTAAACAGTGGTCAAGTCTTTTCTTGTACTATTCTTTGAATTTTTCTGTAGTTTAAAAAATATCTCAAAAAGTTTGAGATGGTGCTGGCAGATATAGTGAGTGACCTTAAACGAAGAAAGGCACTAATGGTTATGTCCCAGTGAAAACTGTAGGAGATAGAATGGTATAAATGAAATTTCTTCATTTCAGCTACTAGAATTTTCTGACTGGGCCCTTTTTCTATGAAATATTGCACATGGGTTAACGGTGATCTTGTACCACACTGAAAAGAAAAAAATGTAAGAGATATTTATTCCTGGAAGTGTTGTGCTTTGACTTTAAGAAAAGCTAATATAAGTGTTAGGTGGCCCCATTTGGTAACCCTCGCTATGGCAGAGGGGTTCATCTTCCTCAGTGGCTCCACAGGGGGAGCTTGAGCATCTGGACTGGACTTGCTCTTCCTGCCTCAAAAGTCTGTTGTGTGATAGGATTGCAAAGGAGCCGTCCTCATCACCCACCTTCTGCTACGTCATTTATTGTCTGAATGCTGATATTCTCGCCATACATTTCTAGGCACGAAAGGATGCACACTGGAAAGCCATATCATGTGGAGGATGCCGAAAAATACTGTGTTGAGGATGATTTGGTTAATCTTGAGGTTCTGGATGAGGTACTGAATATTTAGTAGGCAATTCTCATTGATGACTTTTGTTTCATGTAAATGGTCTGGCCTTTCTGGTGTAAATCAGTTACTCTAAGGTCATTTGAAAATTTAATTGTTTATACAGCACTAGTGTGAAGCTCTGGGAACATTCACTTGCTGACCGTGGTCCTGTGTTGTTGGAATGATGAAGAGAAAGGATTTGGATTTTTTAAATAAAATCCTTTGTATCCTAAGCCTAAATGGTGGATCCTATCACACTAATTATTTTCTGCTTAATAAAATTTGACAATTTATCCTTAAGAACTTGTTGGTTCTTCATAAAAGAGGAGCTTCATTTATGGAAATAGAGAAGTTAATATAGCTCACATTCTAAATCTGAAAACTGATAATCCCTTGAACATTTGATTATGTTAATTGGCTAGACCTGTTTCTGCTGAGTCTAACTCCAGGGACCCTTAACGTCACTGCTTGACTCACTAGTGAGAACTCTCAAAGTGTTCAATTTCATATTCCTACTATCTAGATTATAAGTGCAATGCTTTGAGAAATGAAATTATTATTTTATCTGTGAATTACAGTCAGAATGGCCTATTAAATTCTAAATAGAACATTTTGATTAGGTGAGACAGTTTTTGTCCCTGGTGACAACAAAAAATGTCTTTGTTGGGTATCTCAATGTCCTTTAGCAAATCCTAATTCTTTTAGCATATTCCTATCTCTTCTGTCAAGGCAACAGTCATATCATCTTAGTGATTTAGGGTCATTGTATGATTTGAATGTACTACTTTTAGTCTTTTAGAGAAACATATTCTCATAAGAATAAACTTGTTGCTATTTTTGAACTCAACCTTAATTGACTGTGTTTATGCTCAATGTCATTTATCCTCTTCTTAGGATACAATTATTCACCAGTTGCAGAAACGTTACACAGACTTGCTGATTTATACCTATGTTGGAGACATTCTAATTGCCTTAAACCCCTTCCAGAATCTAAGCATATACTCTCCACAGGTGAGGGGTGTTTTGAGAGCATATTGTTCCTTAATGGGAAATTAAAAATCACAAGGGCTACACTGGGTACCTAGCTTAGTGCTAGAGTGTTTGTCTGGCAGGTACAAGGCCCTGGGTTTGATCACAGGTGCTGTGATCAAAATCACACGTAAATAAAAAGAAGGAAGAAGTGGTACTCAAATCATGCCATCCTAGGGAGCCATACCCCAAAAGCAGTTAATAATCTAACACAAATGGAACTTTTACTTTGGGGAATAACATTTTAAAGCAAGCTGAAACAATAATATCTGTCAGTTGTTGAATGACTACTACATGACATGCAACTGGGTTATATTACTTCTCATGACCTTATGAGACTGGTAAAATACTGTGAGTAAGCCTACTTAGCAGACAGGTAGACAGCATAGAGAAGTTAGTGCCCTTGCACAAGTTCATGAAGCTGGGAAATGCAGAACTGAGACTAGAACTCAGGCCTGCATATGCCAGGGCCTTCCTGAGGCCCCAAGTCCCCTAAAAAAGTGAAAAGGTCTTGGTTTCCTGGCAACAGAGTGAAAGCAGTAGATGGTCCTATGGGGCACTGAAAGATTCCTTTATATTAGTTATTGTTTCCTTCAGTTTTCCAGGCTTTATCATGGGGTGAAACGTGCCTCAAATCCCCCCCACATATTTGCAACGGCAGATGCTGCTTACCAGTGCTTGGTGACTTTCAGCAAAGACCAGGTAGGGCCACACCTTCCTTTCCTAAGTCACACAGTAAGACATGTTTCACCTTCCTCTTCAGCTCATGTCTTCCTGAACTCTTTCCATTCTGGTTGCTGAGGCTGGCCCAAGGGAATGGAAAGTAACATTGCAGTACAGGGCAACTGAACACTAATAAAGCCATAGTAGCAGGAGCAGGAGAAAACCCTTTTCAAGAAGTGTGATTTCTTTGAATGCTCATTGTCTCTCATAAAATAAAATAAAGATATTCCTAACATGAATATAATGAGAACATAGAGCAAACACGACGTGGTTACATGGCAATGATTATAATAAAAACAGGATGTAGAATGGCATAATTAAATTCCTTCCTATAGAGGTCTCAGAATTTTCATCCTTTTTATATGAAATATTGTTCTTGGGTTGACAGTCATCTTGCACACCACTGAGCTACAAAGAAGCTGTGATGTGGTGGGTTAAGACTGAATAAGCCTTAAGCTCACTGCTAATTAAATACAAAACAAATTGTGTCATACATTTTGGCTTTCTAGACTTATAGTTTACAGTAGTGACATATCCTGCCCTTGACCCCCCCTTTGCTTCCAATAGGTAACATTTCCTTTTGTTTTTTGTTCTGTTTGCAACAGCAGTAATCTAATTCGGTGAGCAAATTTTATGAGAATCACCTTGTGTGCTCTTCTTAAGACCTGTGAAGTTCAAACTTTTGGGTTTGTTGAGGAATAAATGAAACCATAACAATACAAATTACAAAACAGATTATATGGATTGTCTGTAGGTTAGATGATTGGCTTCTACAGACTCTTGTGGAGACTTATGTGCAATGTCCAAGAGTTCCTAGAAAGGAGGTAAATGGAGAGAGACAATGTGTTTTTCATGTTCAGAAGTTACCCACTGTGTTTTCTTTTCTTTCTTTTTTTCTGGCACCAAATATTGTGTGTTTTACAGCACTAACTAATTCTCTAATTCTCTGACACCAGCTGGGTGTCCTACAATTCAATTCAATACTGACACTAACAGGAGTTAGCACAGACTCCACAGGTTAAGTGCTTAGTCCCACAAAATGGCCCCCACTTCAGATGCCAGACACAAATGGAGTACTCAGGCTTCCTTTGCTAAAGCAATATAGACTCAAGGGTTTCCACAACACCCCTCAGGTTGGCTAGTTCACCAGAAGAACTCACAGAACTCAGGAAGACACTTTACCATGCTTACTAGCTATTGTAAGGGTACAACCCAGGACTGTCCCCATGGGAGCGGGGAGGGTTGGGGTACATGAGCTTCCAGGCCTTTTCTAGGCACTCTCCTCCCAACATCAGGTGGCCCGAGCAGCTCATTGAATCTCATTTTGCAAAACTTTTTATAAGTCAGTCTCTAACCTCTTTCCCTGCCCTGGAGGTTAAGAGGTGGGCTGAAAATTCTCACCTGCAATCACCTCTTTGATCTTACTGGAGCACCCTACCTTGAACATTAAGCCAGGTGTGGTTGAAATGGGCTCCCTGTCCCATTTCATAACAAAAGCATAACAAAAGTTGCTCCTGTCACTCAGGAAATTCCAAGGGTTTTAGGAGTTTTATGCCAGCAACCAGGGACAAAGACCAAATATACACATTTTTTTAAAAAACCATACCATATCCACTAATATCCTTTATGCATGACAAAAAGTCAATAGTAAAATAAAAAAATAGGCAAAAGATGGATAGGTCACAAAACTGAAAATATGGCTGATCTTAAGCATATGGAAGCTACTAAACCTCACTCAAAAGAAAAGAAGTGTAGATTAAAAGTGCACCTACCAGATTGGCAAAAACTCAACATATTATATGGTGAGGCTATATGAAGGCAGGCACTTTATTGGTACAGCCTTTTGCAAAAGCAATTTCGTAATATCTATCAAAGTTATGAATATCTTTACCTTTTGATTTAACATCCCCACTTCTTGGAATGTATTCAGGAGATAAACCCGCATATAAATAGAGTGACATATTATTCATCATCATTATTATTCATTGCAATGCTGTTTGTAATGACAAAAGAAAAAACTCAAGTATTCATCCATACATAGACAACAATGCATCTATGTACATTGGGCAACGCACAGGTATACCACAGGCTGAAGACGCTCTCCGTGTACTGAAATGGAAAGATTCCTAAGAGAGATTTTTATTGCTCAGTGAAAAATTAAGGTGAACAGTAGAGGATGTCACATAAAAACCATATCTGTTTGCACAAGTTGTTTCTGTGCCTTGAATGCTTCCCTTGACACTTCGTTTTCTGTGTCAGTGCATTGTCATCAGCGGAGAAAGTGGCTCGGGGAAGACAGAAAGTGCCCACCTGATTGTTCAGCATCTGACTTTCCTGGGAAAGGTATTGACCAACTGCTTTACGTATGGTGGCTAGAAGTTCCTGCAGAGCAACTGTATATTTTATAAATGATGCAAGTACTATTTAATTATCAAGAGTAACATAAAAACATTCCATCTTTGTTATGTCTGCTTCCTGATAGCTAGGCCTCTTAAGATGTCAGCATGCTGTCCTTATTTCACATAGTGAGGAAAATAATGCCAGCACGAATTTACTAGATTATTTGCAATTAATTTTTCATGTTTTCAATGTAATAGAAATATTTAGCCATTAAGTAGTAAAAGTGGCTCAACACTGTGGGTAAGATCAGAGAGCCCCTGTGGTGAGTAAGGACATGGAAAATGGGTAGCTTTGAGCAAATGTTACAGGAAATGAAAATTTTCAGCTTGGTGATGTGGACACTGAAGGAATGACTACAAAATTAGTCCAGTAGTTGTTTATGCTTGGAATTAGTGTATTTTGTGGCTAAGAAAGAATTTAAGGACTGTTTCTATAGATGAGGTTTATTGAAGATTATAATGGATGACTGAGAAAAGTCATAGGATGTCTCTACTTAAAATTCTTTCCAAACTGTTTAGCATTTCACTTGTCAAGGATTTTAAATAAAGGACAGCAATATTTAAACATTACTGTCCTAAAATAGTCTAATCTGATTCCTGTGCACCTGGTGAGTTTCTCATCTGAGAAAAACATGCTGGTGGTTGGTGCTAATTCCTTCAAATAGAGCTCTTAGGGAAAGGGCAACGTGAACTTTGGTGGACAAGGGCTGGGCGCCTGGCAGCTTTATTGGAATAATGTTTCTTCAGGCTTTTCTTGACGATTCTCTGTTTGGCCCAGGCCAACAATCAAACCTTAAGAGAGAAAATTCTGCAAGTGAACTCCCTGGTGGAAGCCTTCGGGAATGCATGCACTGCCATCAATGACAACTCCAGTCGTTTTGGGAAGTATCTGGAAATGATGTTTACACCAACCGGAGCGGTGATGGGGGCAAGAATTTCTGAATATCTTCTTGAAAAGTCCAGAGTTATAAAACAGGCAGTGTAGGTGTATTGCTTTATCATTCTGTGCACTGCAATCTGAACTTAGAGGCTTTGGGACTTTTTGAGTGTTGGGGGGGTGGCAAGGTGGCTGGGGTTTGAACTCAGTGCTTCACACTTACAGAGTAGGCACTCTACCGCTTGAGCCATGTCTTCTGTCCATTTTGCTCTGGTTATTTTGGAGACGGGGGTCTCACAAATTATTTTCCTGGGCTGGCCTTGAACTACATTGCTGCCAGTGTCAGCCTCCCAAGTAGCTACGATTTCAGGTGTGAGCCATCGGTGCCCAGCTGTTTTGGGAATTTTAATGGTTCTACTTTAATCCTTTTTTCTTTAGCTTTTCCCTGTCCCTTCTCCAGCCAAAAGCAAGGAATTATTTAAGCAAAGTGTCAGTGGTAGTTTTTGATCTAAAAGATGAAAAATTCAGAAACTTGCCATGTTCTTGGTATCACAGCCCTGTCACTTGTTACACATTGTCTAATAATGTACTTTCCAGTTCCTTCATCTGTCATGAGCTGACACCAGTGCTGACCTGGTACCTAGTTGAAGGACCCTGACCAGAGGATTCTAAACAAGAGGTGGACACAGGAGTTTGGGGCTGAGAGTGGGGCTGGGAAATGACATTTTGAATGGTGCCTGAAAGCATCCTGACTTGGAAGAGTACAGACCTCAGTTCTAGGATCAGTTCTCCCTAAATTGCCATGAGATTTGAGCCACTTCCTGTCTGGGGCTCCAGTGAAGTGGGGGATTTGGCTGTCACTGTAAGTTGGATCTCACTCTTTCTGAAGCAACAGGGACTGCAAACAGAAGGCTGTGGCACAGATGCAGAAGTGCAGGGCTGGGATGGAAAGAGCTCTAAGGATGGGTTCTCTAAAGCCTCTTCCTGCTCCTACTGAAGATAAGTGTGATTAGGAAAGTAGGGTTGTAACAATTACTGTACGAATCCTATCACTATTACTCTTCTATATTCAGGGTGAAGCAGATTTAATCATCTGAATGTGCAAATTAGTTATGAAATAATTTTTTTCACAGAAAGGAAATGATAGAAATTACTGGGGATGCCTACAACGTGGTATTAATAAAGCTCTTCTTTATTTCAGGGGAGAGAAAAATTTTCACATATTTTACTATATTTATGCTGGTCTTTATCACCAAAAGAAACTCTCTGAGTTGAGACTACCTGAGGAAAGTCCTCCTAGGTAGGTTTTGTTGCTGAATCACTTACCTAGGAGTTTTGCTTACCGGTTTTGAATGAATATGCCATTAGCAGTTGATAAATTTAGAAGTAAATGGAGCTGGTTTCCTAACTGGAAACTCACAATCTATTTAACTTAAATATGCAAAATGAGGCATCAGGAGCCACCTCTACCATTTGCATTTTCTCTAATGATCAAAAACTCAACTGCCACCATTTTTCTCAGGGATGTGCACCAATATTTCCAGCCCCAGGGTTAGACTGTAAAAAATGTCTTTGCAAAAAAGGAGCTCAAGTGTCACCTGCTAATTTTCCAAGCTAATGCTTATTCTGTTTGGTCATTCTCCACTTCATTTAGGTACATAGCTGATGAAACTGGAAGAGTCATGCATGACATAACTTCCAACGAGTCTTACAGAAGACAGTTTGAAGCAATTCAGCATTGCTTCAGGATTATTGGGTTCACTGACAAGGTAAGTGATTATCAAGAGAGAAACTCAAGTGTGTTGTGTTAATATTCTTAGCTGAATGTGAGTGAGGATATAGATGGTCTAACATAGGGCAGGATATTTATTTTTCTACTGCCATGTTGGTCATGAGATCAGGTCTTGGTACTCACAGTGTGGTTCACGGACCAGAAACTTTGTGATCACTCGTGAGCTTGTTTGAAATGCAGACTCTTAGTTATCCAAGAATGATTAAATCAGAATCCACATTGTAACAAGATACTCAGGTAGGCTGAAAGGACCATGCACCTATGAATTATTATCACTGTTATCAAATCACCACACCTGTACTAACAAACGCCAAAACAGTACTGCTCTTTTTGACTTGGAGCAATTCCAACCATTAAAGGGCATTGTGACTAGGAGTATAGGAACATTGTAGGTTATACCCAAGCCACAGAAATATGTTTATAAGTGACTCTTTATGCACCAAGACAAATTAGCTAAAACCTTTCCACTGCCTTGCAGTCACTTCCTTTTCCATGGCACTCAGTTGCACATTATTAACTATGACTCTAAGCATTATACTGCTTTCATCATACTAGATACAGGCTGTCTCTATTACATATGTGCTAGGGGTGAGAGACAGTATTTATAGCCCTAGGCTCAACTATTACTCCGTGATGCATTATGTCATAGTTTTGGGGCTTTGTGCCACCAGTTTTGCAAAACATATAGGTTCTTTTGCTTTTCCAGCAAAGGGGGGTGAATGATCAGGAGGTAGGTATGAGTGTTAAATCTTAAGGGATTAGATTACAAAACACCCCAGTTCCCTTGCTACAGCCACTTTGGATAAATATTGCTTCTGAAACCCAGTGAGTTTAGCCCTTTCCTCCCCAGCATGGTTGATTTTAGTCATAATGATACGTTTCTTTTTTCTAGCTAGCTGTTAATTTTCTCTGTTTGCCTCCCACAGACTTTAAACTGACAGTGGAAAATTTCAAAGGTCAGATAAAAATAGAAATATATTTCCCTTGGCTCCTTAGAGGAGAGCAGTTAAACAGGTTACAGCATTGTTAAAGGGCATTTATGGCTATTAATGTATACAAGAGTCAACATGCAGTGGAGATGCCAATAGAGCAGCTCAAAGTCACCTGGGTCCTGCCAAAGTGTTCAGAGGCATACTTTCTTAAGAGGGAGCAGAAGCCATGACAAAGTCAGCCCATAGGGTTCGTGACATTTGCTTTCAATGAATGCAACCTGGTTATAGAATGCTATAGAGAGATGACCCTTGCTTTAGAAGAAAGCATTCAGTGGTGCTATTTAATAATAGAAATGTGTTGCTAATAATAAAACAAATGCTATCTGCTTCAAACCTAAAAACAGAGGAAATTAAGTGTTTTAAGTATATGTCCTTGAACTAAGCCATCCCTAACCCCTGTGGGAAAAAGTGCAATAAAAAGGAATGAATGACTGTACATTGTGTATCTATACACAATGGAATTTTATGCAGCCATGAAGAAGAACGAAATGTTATCATTCGCTGGTAAATGGATGGAATTGGAGAACATCATTCTGAGTGAGGTTAGCCTGGCTCAAAAGACCAAAAATCGTATGTTCTCCCTCATATGTGGACATTAGATCAAGGGCAAACACAACAAGGGGATTGGACTATGAGCACATGATAAAAGCGAGAGCACACAAGGGAGGGGTGAGGATAGGTAAGACACCTAAAAAACTAGCTAGCATTTGTTGCCCTTAACGCAGAGAAACTAAAGCAGATACCTTAAAGCAACTGAGGCCAATAGGAAAAGGGGAACAGGTACTAGAGAAAAGGTTAGATCAAAAAGAATTAACCTAGAAGGTAACACCCACGCACAGGAAATCAATGTGAGTCAATGCCCTGTATAGCTATCCTTATCTCAACCAGCAAAAACCCTTGTTCCTTCCTATTATTGCTTATACTCTCTCTACAACAAAATTAGAGATAAGGGCAAAATAGTTTCTGCTGGGTATTGAGGGGGGAGCGGGAGGGGGTGGAGTGGGTGGTAAGGGAGGGGGTGGGGGCAGGGGGGAGAAATAAACCAAGCCTTGTATGCACATATGAATAATAAAAGAAAAATGAAAAAAAAAAAAGGAATGAATGACTGTACAAAAGAATATGAAAAGAAAGAAATGAAAAAAAAGATGGTGAAATTCCTAACTTGTGCTTGCCTAAACTGCTAAATGAGTAATGGAAATGGAATGGTATGTTTTTATGTGTATCTTCACCATGTCTTGTATTAATTCATACTGGAAACAAGCCAACTTAAGTTAATTAGCAATCTTGGAAATGGAAGGAAAAGGCTGGATCTTATCTCTTGGACCCTTAATCCCGTGACTGTTTCTCTTCAGGCAACCTGTTTTTGCTGAATTAACTCAGTTCACTTTGTGTTCAGAAAGATTCAGTTGAATGAAGTCAGGGAGCAGATGCCAAATGGCTGATGTGACAGAACTTTCTCTTATGTTTTTCTGGCAGACATTTCTAGATAGAGCTTAAATGAACTGGTCAATTCAATCAGAATTATGTTTCCTGTCCTTTCTTAGAAGGTCACTAGTTCCCGTAGGAATCCCTTAAGTTTTTCCCAAATCCTTGCAGCAAAATTATGAGTAGCGACCTCAGAGTGGACCCAGGGGAATGAATTTTAGTTTCAGGACAACAGCCAAAAGCATCTGAAGGAACACTTGACCCTGGGTTTAATGTGGGGATGCTTCCCTGATGGAAGGAGCTTTCCATTAATGATGATGACTTCTTTCAAGGGGCTTAGAGGACTGCACCTTGAATCTGGTTGTGACGATCAGTGCTTTTCAATTTCTACTCCTGGAGCCAACCCATACTGTTTTTAATATTACGCTTGTCTTGCTAGTATGGGAATTATAATAACATATTAAATAGACTGATTCATAAATGTGTTTATATTTAGTACTGTATGACAACTTTTGGGGCAGATTCTGTATATGATGGTCAAAGTTGGACATTTACTGAAGATCCCTGGATGTAGAGGTTAGGGGGGCCTTTGCATTCAGTGCAACATCATCCTCTTCAAAGTAGATTACAAATCCAAAGGGTACTGCTGAGAGAGACTGAGGAGTTATGTGTTAAAATATAACTTGGGGGTCTTGAGGATTTCTAATGTCTTCATGACAATGAGATTCCATTGACTTTTAAGATACCAAATGTTTGCCCTCTGCAAAACGGATGAATAAGGCATTGGAACCTTCAGCTGGTCCTAATGCAGTGGCTAGGGCAGAACTGGTGAAAACTAAAGTAACTTATATAAATGGAAGAGTCTGGCAGGCGCAATTCCTAGGGAGGTGTAAGAGAAACAGCTACTTGCCATGCCTGGGAGCCAAGCCAATGTGATTTCAGTAAAATAGCACCAGGTTCTATTTAACTTTAACTTGGCCTCAACACTATCTGGGAAACATTTGCATCAATAGATAAAGTACCTTCTGAGGAAAAGAAGAAGCAAGACTATCCATCCTGCAGTGGAGTTTTGAGATTTGAGTTCATACTCATCGACAGTAAGATGAGATAGCTTAGTTGGAGGATTTGTTAAGTCTTCCTGATAATATTTCTCATTCTGAGTGAAGTTATTCCACTTTATCATATAGAAAGTTGGGATGTGGTAGGAAATAAAATGAGATAGCCATATAGAAAAATTAATAGACAGAGATTCCAGAAAATCTCCACAGCTGGTGATGAGGCAAGAGAAAGTAAGCAAGTGAGCAAGGTACAGAAGGTAAAAACACTTGCCCAGACTGCATACGGGAAGAAGTGAAGAGAAATTGGATCAAGAAGTTTGGGGGAGGGCTGAGTAATCACACACACACAGAGAGAGAGAGGGAGAGAGAGAGAGAGAGAGACATACAACTGATTGAGATCTACCACATATATATGTGTGATGATTTGCCTGAACACAGTGGTGGATATGTGTTCCTAGGTAAGAAAGGAAGAAGTGATTAACTCAAAGGAAAGGATAATAGAGCCTAGTGGGGAAATAGCCCAGAAATAGGGAGCATCTGATAGCTAGTAGCTCCTTAGTGAGGGAGTGTTGGATACCCTCTCCCTTCTCCCTCAGTGAACCAAAGAAGGAAACCCAAGCTACCATTAAATTCGGCTATTCCTAGTGTTTGAACCTAAAAATTTCCCATTTTGTTGGCTGCTGGGGCATCACATTAAAGAAGATTTTGCCAGAGAAGCAACAGGATAAGATGCTGGTCCCAAGGGTCTTTGTCAACCATTTTCTTTGGGCTTCATGATGCCAGTGCTGAAATGCTTGGAAATCTTATTTTGAGAATTTCCTTGACTTGTATGATAATACATGAAGGGCATGTGTGCATTTTGATTACAGAAAATACATTTTTTCCCTAAGAATACAGAGTGTTTTAGATAACCTCTTGAGGTAACTGGATATAGCAATCGCAGACGTAGAACTCACTGCTAGAGAGTCTGTTTTAAATCTGCCTCCGTGGGGAGTCACACTTTATTGATCAAGGTAATGAAGTGCTATCCTGTTAAACCCAGGCAAGCCCAGAAAACCCATTTGGTAGGTGTTCGCATTAGTCACTTGTAAGTTATGTGATTAAACAGTGATTCTTGGAGTCGGAAACATGACATCTTGCCCTTGATTTAGAAGTTGGAAGAACAATATTTATCTATAGTAGAAGCCCAGCTTAGAATCCTCATTTGTCTTTGTAGCATTATCAGGTATCCAGCAGATGTCACTGTTACAGCCTGCGTTCAGGCTTTTGGCTTTACTGAGTAATATCTGGAGGAAGGCTCTGTCTGTTTGGGGGGGCAATGCTTTTTTCAGTAGTCTAATGGCAGTTCCTATTAGTTTCCTGTTTCGTATGTCACTAAATCAAGTAACCTGTCTTTTGGCTGTGGAAGTATTTTTCCCTATTCGCATAAAATGCAGAAATATCCTGGCTAGATATTTTATTGTTTCATCTACAAAAAATGTAAATTTTAAATAAATATACTTTGTTTTTGAACCATTAATGCAACTTACATATTCAATTTTCATACAAAAATGGGACTTAGATCTTCTGAATTGTTTTTATTCACATTTTTTATACCAAATATGAAATGGTTTCCCCCGCTCCCCCATACCAACTAATTCTCTGGCACTAACTGAATGACCTACAATTCAATTCACTTCTGTTTACCTAGAGTTAGCATCACATTCTACAAGTTAAGGGCTCAATCTCACAAGACTGTCCCAGACACCAATTGTAAGTCCCAGGCCTCTTGCACATCTGACTGATTGGTTATAAAATGGAACTTACCATGACTCTCTCCCCAGGCTTGGTAACAGCTGTAATGGCTCACAGAACTCATGGAAAAAAAAACTTTACTTACTGTTACAGGTTTATTATAAAGGATAAAACTCAGGAATAGCCAAATGGAAAAATGGGTAGGCAAGGAAAGGGACTCAGCTTTCATGCCTCTAGGCACACCACCCTTCTAGCAAACCCACTGATTCACCAACCTGAAAACTTCCAATCCTGTTGTTTAGGGGCTTTTATGGAAGTTCCATTATATTCACATGATTGATTACTTGATGGCTGCTTGGTGACTAACTCCAAGTCACCAGAGTCCCTCTTCCCTCCCCAGAATTTGGTGGGATGGGGACCTGAAAAGTCCAATCCTCTAGTCTCATGATTGGTCCCCCTTTGGCCAACCAGCTCCCCCACCCATCTCAAGTCTATCTAGAGACACACCAAGAGCTTATTAGCATAAACCAAGGAATGACTGAAAGGCACTTGTTTCCAATAACAAGATTCCTATCCTCCCAGATAATTATAAGGATTTCAGATGCTCTTGTGCTAGGAACTAGGGACAGATGCCAAATATATATGTATTTTATCACAAGGTCACACATAATTTCTAGTGACCTTATTCACTTCTCCATGCTCCACAATATAACTGAGAGTCTAGTGAGCCATCAGTGGATGCCCTTCCAACTATGTTATGAAAGCTGGTAAAAAGCTAAAAAGTCCATAAAGAACAAAGAAGGTCCATTCCCTCTTACCAATGATAGATCACTGGTCAAAGGCATGGTCATTAATGGCATGGTTGAGGCTGGGCTGCTGGGGAGTCCAGCTAATAATGAGGAAGAAGACAGGGAGGAGGCTTGCTCGGTCCAGTAGGGCCTGGGACCTAAAGAAACTCACATCATTTTGCTTGCTCCCTTGTTAAATGTGGGGACATTGTCACCCCTAACTGCAAGGGAGATTGGGAAGTTTGTATGTGCCTGAATGGGGGAGATAGACTTTGATGGATAAGTAACAGTTTCTACCACATAGCTTGTGATGCATTGGTTTGACTGGCAATGACATTGAAACATGGCTCTTGATGTCCTTTACAGGAGGTACACTCTGTGTATAGAATTCTGGCCGGGATTTTGAATATTGGGAACATTGAGTTTGCAGCTATTTCTTCTCAACACCAAACTGATAAAAGTGAGGTGCCCAATGCTGAAACTTTAGAAAATGGTAATTATTTGATCCTTGTGCTCTGTGTTGTCACAGGACACATTTCTTTCACTTTGGTATTTTATAAGAACCCATAGAATATAATGCAGCTGTTGCTGTTCCTTCTACTGTCTCTGGGTGTTTTCACTAACCAGTATTTCCCAAAAGATGTCTTGGGGAATGTCAGTGTTTCTTCTAATAGCTGCAAAAAAGCATTCCATGACAGGTCACTGTGGGCAATGGTTTTCAACCTTGGCTGCTTTTGAAAATTATGTACAAAATTTTGAAAAAATACAAGAGTTTGGGTTCCACTGTGAATTGACTGAATCAGCACCCATTGGAGAGAAAGCAGGCACCTGTTTACCTTTGAAGTTCTACCTGTAATTGTGGGTAGCACAAAGAGTGAGAAATCCTGGTTATAAAACAATAAGCTGATTTAAATAAAGTAAAGCCTTTCTGTGTTGCACTGCAGCACATTTCAGTCTTTAGTATACAAATGTATCTTGTGACTACTCCTCTAATTTGCTTGCTAAGAGACCTCCTCCATCCCTGCTTTTTAAAAGAAACATTTACGAAGAGCTTCCCTGTAGTATGGGAGCTCCCATACCAGGCTGGATGCTGGCCTGGCTTGTTTATCTTGACCCTGAAGTCCCTAGAACAGAGCCTGGCAGATACTTGATGTTGAATAGATGCTGACAGATCAACTGAATGAAGGGATGGCCACATTCCCAGTGTCATATTTACTTTTTGTTCCAGCTGCCACAGTTCTCTGCATCAGCCCCGAAGAGCTGCAGGAGGCCCTCACATCCCGCTGTGTGGTCACCCGAGGGGAGACCATCGTCCGCACCAACACCGTGGACAGGGCTGCAGATGTCCGGGATGCCATGTCCAAAGCCCTGTATGGGAGGCTCTTCAGTTGGATTGTGAATCGCATCAACACACTCCTGCAGCCAGACAAAAACATATGGTAATTCCCCCGGAGAGCAGAGTTCTTGGGAGAGCTGTCATCGATCCTGTGTCTCTAAGAGTTTGCAAGAGGAAGCATTTGGTCCTCTCTGGGGCTTTCTTTAGCAAAGCTCTCAGGCTTTCTGCTTTCAAAGTGGCACTAGGATCCAGGAGAGTTGAAGTGTTTACACCTGAGAGGCGAATGATTGATGGAGCCAGTCAAGTGTAGTATTTAAGGGAGTCATTTTGGCAAACCCAGTTCATACTGCAGCTCTACAGCTTAATCAACTGCCGTCTAAGTCACAGTTTTGCCATCTGTGAAATGAAGATAGTACTCCTGAAAGTATTTTTTAAGTTGAGACATTTTATGAAGAGTGTTAAAGTGTGGTATCTTACAGTATTACCACAACTCCTTTTTCTTTCCTGATCATTGTTGGTTTCCCATTTTGTGAAGGAATGGGCAACATTAAATTCTCAAGAGTTGTCTTCCAAGTAGGCTTTGTATGTAGCTTTAAAGATTTTATCTGACAGTGTTGTGTTGTATTTTAGTGTGGGTGGATGGGAGTGTCATTTGTATGTTTCCATAAGCTACCATGCACTGTTTGTCCTTTACTATCTTAGTAAGCTTTATGCTGTGGTATGTACTGTAACCACACAGGCTCTGTGGGCAGAAGCCACAGCCTCTTCATTTTTTTTTTTTTAATGGAGCTTCTGAGTAAGATTTTTTGTTTTCATTTCTTGTTTTTTGAATCAAGGCCTTGCTATATAGCCCAAGCTGGCCTCAAACTTGTGATCCATGTGCCTCAGTCTCCTGAATGCTGGGGTTACAGGTGTGCACCACCATGTCCAGTTCTGAGTAAAATTTTAAAGGATTCTACTGCTTAAAAAAAGAGAAGACTGCCAAAGATTCAAGGAACTAATGGTTTAAGACATAAACGGCCCTCTGCCTTGGGGGTGACAGGAGGCAGGAACCACCACAGGAGGGTTCCTGTGGTGGTGGACAGGGTGTGATACTGGACACTTGGGTACATGTGTTCCTGTCATCTTGAGGTGGATTTTTCATCTCTCTCATGCAGTAGTGTAGATGATGGAATGAACGTGGGGATCTTGGATATTTTTGGATTTGAGAATTTTCAGAGAAATTCCTTTGAGCAGCTCTGCATAAACATCGCCAATGAACAAATCCAGTACTATTTCAACCAGCATGTGTTTGCTCTTGAGCAGGTAATAGTGAACTCTGGAGGTATTAAACCTGAGGGGGAAAGGGCCCACAAATTGAAGCAAAAACTCTGTGAGCCAGGCTAACAGGTAAAAGACTAGAGAAAAACCACCTGTGGAGACAGTCCTGTCAAAATAAACAGTCTAAATTTAGTCTGGAAAAAAAAAAAAAGAAGTCCTAATTTCTGTGGAAAGGTACATTTCTTCACTTGAGTGGAGCTGGTGACAAACCAATTATTTAAATCTTGCTTTGAAACTCTTACATGCATATTGCCCAAAATTCTTTATTCTCTTCTATTTTAACTAAAAATCGGTGTGATGATGTCCAAAATGACACAGGATGATTTTGAATTCAGGACCTGGTCTCTTAGCAACTACACTAGCCATCTCTGCCTCCTATCTCCTCTGCACCAGGCCCCCCATAGCTGGAAGGGTGTCCCAAGGGGGGAGTAAGATGTGTTCTTGGATTTCTAGAACTGGCATCCTGCCCCTCTAAGCCCAGTGGTAAATGCAACAGGATTGGGAGCTAGTGGACCCAAAGGCTTGGGGGACCTTCTCCTGGGTCAACAACCCAAGCAGCAGAGTCCTCTGCACCCCAACCCATATTAAATACCCCAAGACTAACCTCTGTCTATCAGACATTCTGACCAAGCCCTGTGTGAGTGCAGGAATGATTATTTTAATGCAGCCAGGAAAACACGGACACACACACACACACACACACACACACACACACACACGATGTGAATAAACACAAAGACATTGAGTAAAAAAATGGCGCCTGGATTGGTTTTATCCCAGGAGCAGAATGCTCACGCCTCTGCCTGCTCACCTGTACAAAACTCAACCTAGTCTTCTGTTCACGCTCCTTCCGTTTATCTTCCTGGCAAATCTGGAGTTTTTCTAGTTTTCCAGCTCTTGCAGAAGAAAGAAGTCTGCTTTCTTCCTGATTTAAACCATATTTGTCACTAAGATAAAAACAGTTTTTCAGTGTCATTTCCTTTCTGCATGAGTTTCTAAATTATGCGTTCCCATGTCTATGTTTGGGAGACAGCTTTTGCTGGCCACAGGCCACCTATAAGTCACACTAAAATGCACAGCTTCAACAGTGTGACATGCAGAAAATTCCTTTAGTACACACATCAAACGCATCCTGTTTCCCACATGCATTTAAGGTTGCCAGAGCCAGAAAGTCCAGGGCAAAGTATTCTGGTGGTACTAAGGCCAGTGTCAGGCTGGGGCGTCACTCTCTGTTTCCCTCCAGATGGAGTATCAAAATGAGGGCATTGACGCCATTCCTGTGGAATATGAGGACAATCGCCCACTCTTGGACATGTTCCTCCAGAAACCTCTGGGCCTGCTTGCACTTTTGGATGAGGAAAGTCGCTTTCCCCAAGCCACAGACCAGACCCTGGTCGGTAGGTACCTTTTGGAAAAAGGGCACGTTCACTGAGAACAGAAGCTGGGTGTGTCATCACATAAGTGTGCTTTAATGAGTTTAACCTACGTATTTTTGCTATCTGATGGGTTGTAAAAGCATAGACCCAGTCTTTTTATTTAATTAGTGTCCTGCTAGAATTTGTGGCTTAAAGTAAACACATTCCCATCTTCCTATCCTGCCAGTACAAACACTATGACCCCATGCTGATACCATCTTACAAATTCCCTCCCTTTGTTGTCACAAGCAACACTAGCTTCTCCTGTTTGTACCCCCTGTCTCAAATCTTCAGCTGGACTCCCCATCTACCTCTAGTCCCAGGTGGTAAAATCCCCTTCCAGTCCCCTGGTTTCCAGATTCACACCGTACCCTCTTCTCTGGCCATCTGGCTGGTTTAGTCTTTCTAAAGCCACCGTTCACAGGATAGAGACAGGGCACCCCCTCCAAACATCCCCTTGCTCCTCCTCCTGTTCCTCCTTCTGGAATATTCAGATTTACATAGCTTCGCTCACTCCTTACCTATATTGTGAGATGCTTGGGGCCCCAGGAACCCAATCCTTACATCCCTTTAATACCTAACACGGTTCTTCACACCGAGGAAGCTCTCAGCCATGACCACAGCAGGGCAGAAATTGTTTGTGAGGGAGGAGCAGTGAGTTTCAAGCCTTTTTCCCAGATGGAAAATGACTTATGGGAGAGATTTACTTCTAGAAGTTGAAATCAACACCTTTGGTGGCTTTCTTTTATCTGTAATATTTGTCACCACTTGACACATTGAGGTTCAAACAGAGTTATTGACCTTATGGGGAATTTCTAAAGCCAACTTGGCAGGGTCCGAGTTGTCCTCAGCATCCATGCCAGGGGTTCTTGGAGACAGCGGAAGAGCATGCCCTCATAGGGCACGGCCTGACACTAAACACTGAACAACTAAATGAAGGTTAAGAGCAGACCTGCCCCACAGTGTGCTGGTCTCTGTAATGCAGTGATCTATCGAGCTGCTCTGCAAACTTTCACTCTGGGTCTGTCATGATGTTTTTGTTTGAAAGAGTATAGAATTCACATTGTAACTCTCCAACCTGAAAATCTGCAGATAAATTTGAGGATAATCTGCGATGCAAGTTCTTCTGGAGGCCCAAAGGAGTGGAGCTGGGCTTTGGCATTCAGCACTACGCGGGAAAGGTGAGGGGGACATGGGTTATGGGACCTGATGTGACCTAGGGTAAATGCCCACATGGCCCTGCAGGGTGGCTCATGGACTCGCTGGTAGGTTTTGTTTTCCTTTTAATTCTTCTCCAACCCAAACTTTCTCAGTGGTGTTGCTCAGAAGCTGCCCCTGGCACAGATGCCATTTCTTGCTGGGGTGGCCCACAGAGCTGCCATCTGCTTCCAACCTGAAGGCTGGCCTAGAGCTGACAGCTCCCCAGGGAGAGAACAGATTACAGCTTTCTTAGTGTTTTGTGGTGAATGTCCACATTCTAAATCCCATGGAGATGCATAGGAAAGGTAGGAGAACTAAGATCCCACTGGGGCTCAGATTTTAGCACTTTCAACATATGTCTGCAGGCCATCAAAAATGTACAGTTGAGAGGGGAAATTTTTCACTTCATCATCCAGATGTTAAGCTTTTGCAACATTAACTGAAATCTCCACTTTTCATATATCAGGTCTCAGTCTCAATTTTGAATTCCTAAAGCCCATTGGTGACTGATTCAGGCAATCTTCTAGTCCCATAGCCGACTACTCATTGCTCGGGTTTCTCCCACAGGAGCCAACCAAATTATGACTAATTGGTTCCTGGGTGGGAGTTTGAGTCCCTGGATCCAGAAAATGGGTAGGAGTTCAAACAAGGGCACTTGGGATTGTTTGGCTGATCTAAGATGTGTTCAAATGACCTTTCCTGTTCATATCATGACATTGAAACTAATTTTGCCTGACTAGATATTGACTGAAAGACAATTCTAAAGAAAGAAGAGGAGGTTGTGTTTCTTTCCATGTAGTGTTTTATGCTATTTTGGATCTTTGTTAGAAATTGCAATCCAGTTTTTGTCCTTAACAGCATCACTTACCTTAACACTGATACTGACTTATATTGATGTCCTCTGACTCTGAGGTTTCAGCATCTCCCCTGACCCCTATTCTCTCTGCCTCCCATTCCTGTCTTCTTCCTGTCACCTCTTTTTCCATTTCATCCATTTAGGCCTACTTTTCCTACCCACCTCTCTTCATCCTTCTTTCTCCTTCACCCCCTTTTAGGGACTCTTCTCTCTGGGCTCTGTATCCTGTGCTGAATTCATTTGTCATTCATTGAATTCATTTGTCAAAGCTTATTTGTAGACAAGGGCTTCTCAAGAATATTTCTTAAAAGTTTCTCTGAGCTGGATGCCCTCTGCTCTGAGAACCTAGAACCGCTCAACATCCTTGAGTGATCACTCAAGTCCTGTGAGTACCTTGGGAGGCAGTAAGGGTACGGTGGTTATGAGTACAGAACCCAGCTACCCAGGAGTGATGCCTGCCCACCACCCATACCACTCAGCCTCTTCCTAAGCCTCTGTCTGCCCACCAGTAGAATGGAGATAATATAGTGTTTACTTCATAGGATGGATGCTTTGCATATGGTGAGTATATTTCAACACTAATTCTGATGTGATATATCTTTGATAGGACCCTTTTCTTCAAAGACAACTGTGTAAGAAGCAAAGATAAATTGACCTGTCAAAATTACAACTTTTCTCCCCTTATCTGGTACTCTGGATTTAAAAGTGTGGCTGTGTCAAGATGAGTTTTTCTCCCAAGGCTGATAATGACTGATCAGACAACTCACCAGTGTGTCCAGCAACAGATAGTTGTCTCGGCTAACTTCCCATTTGATATCTGTGTTGTAGGTATTATATGATGCTTCTGGGGTTCTTGAGAAAAATAGAGACACCCTCCCTGCAGATGTGGTTGTGGTCCTGAGAACGTCCAAAAACCGGCTTCTTCAGCAACTCTTCTCCATCCCTTTGACCAAAACAGGTAACTGGGAACCCCTAACATTCCCAGACCTCATGGTTGTTATAAACCCAGGAAGTATTTCCCAGTCAGTCTCTAAACACTGCCTCCATTGCACTACTAACATTGAATTTCTTCAAGCAGGGCTATGGGGCTAACTAAGTTCAAGAAAAGGAAAGGGATTGTTTCTTTAATAATTTAACAGCAGAAATATACATGTACATGCATAACACACACACATTTTCTATCACATCAGCTCTTACTTCTCATGTCTGCCTTCCTCTTTTTATTCTTCCATTTATAAAACTATATATTATCTTTAATTCATGATAAGCATTTAAGGGTAGTTTCAGTTTGCCTAGAGTTATTGGGGAAGTTATTTCTATTAATGTATGATTCCAAGTGAAGGGAGTGTGGCAAATCAGTCTTCCTACCCAATCGGCAACCACGACCCACCATTCTCTAAGTAACCTGAAACATTCATGGCCTCACCAGTTGACAGCCAACTTCTGTTCAGTGGCTCTGTCAATCCTCATGCCAGCCAGAAAACAGGAAACTAGGGCCAACTCACAGGTCTTTGCTATTTTGCCAAATTGACTCTAATTGGGTCAAGTGCCTTTGATTTACCTGCGGTGTGTGTGCGCGGGGTGGTCTGCTGCCTTTGGCTGGGCAGCCAACTGGTCTTCTCACAGCTCTAACCTCAAGGGCTTCAGGTTTTTGAGGCTACGACTGGAAACAGCTGCGAGTATGCTTTTCAGAAAGAGTGGGAAAAACCTCTTCATCATTGCTTATCATTTCCTTTTCTTCACAAATCCCTCTTAAAATCCTTGACAGGTATGTCTCGCACAAGATCTTTGCGTATTTCAGAGGGAATGCCAGGTCTGATTTTAAGCAACATTCACAGTAATGAAAAGCTTGGCTAAAGAAAACAAAAGCTACAGTATAAAACCTTTATTTCATCCTCTCTTAGGAGGAAAGTTGAAACCAGGCTCTTAACTTTCTTCAACCACGCTCTTATAAACAAACTAGTAGCAGGGTGCCCATCAGAAGCTGCCCTCCAGCTTCCTCTCCACATCCACTTTGGGTGAAACCAGGATTCCATTCACTTTCGACTCGCAGTAGCCCTGGGGCTGGTGGGCAGGGTTGGTGGAGTTTGCCGGCTAGATCTCTGAAACATAGGCTCTTCCTTGGGCAATTTCTCGCACAAAGACAGAGCCATTACTATTAGGGGACATGCTCTATGAAATAAAATCTATCCAAATGACTATTCCTCTGCAATTTACACTTTCCCATGAATGTGAATAAGGACTTTTCAAGTCTGTTTACAGCTATGAAATTTCCTATTTTTCAACCTCTGGCAAAAGGGAAACAAGTTCACAGCCTCGGCCACTAGGTGGCGCTATGAATAAAGTAAGGCTCTGCAGCGAGCCCCCTGTGCTTCCTGGATGTCGCCTTTACAAACGCCAGAGGAAGAGGAACAAAGAGACAGCTTGTTTTTTTTCATTTTTCTTTTATTATTCATATGTGCATACAAGGCTTGGTTCATTTCTCCCCCCTGCCCCCACCCCCTCCCTTACCACCCACACTCCCCCCTCCCTCTCCCCCCCAATACCCGCGCAAAAACTATTTTGCCCTTATTTCTAATTTTGTTGTGAGAGAGTATAAGCAATAATAGGGAAAGGACAAGGGTTTTTGCTGGTTGAGATAAGGATAGCTACACAGGGAGTTGACTCACATTGATTTCCTGTGCGTGGGTGTTACCTTCTAGGTTAATTCTTTTTCATCTAACCTTTTCTCTAGTTCCTGGTCCCCTTTTCCTATTGGCCTCAGTTGCTTTTAAGGTATCTGCTTTAGTTTCTCTGCGTTAAGGGCAACAAATGCTAGCTAGTTTTTTAGGTGAGACAGCTTGTTTTTGCTGTTGTTTTTTGTTTGTTTGTTTTTTCTTCCAAAGAGCTTGTAACTTTTTCTGAGTCTTGCCTGCACCCCACATCACCTGGGAGAAACAAAAGAAAAAAAAAAAACCAGATGAAAAGATTAGACACAAATGTGATGTTCTAACAAGCTCCTTTGTAGTCCCGCGTTGGATATTATGCATAAAAATTTCTTTCCAGCCATGCACCAGTGGCTCACACCTTTTTAACCCTAGGTGCTTGGGAAGCTGAGATCAGGAGGATCCAGGTTCGAGGCCAGCCCTGGCAAATACTTTGTGAGACACCCCCACCCCCATCTCCAAAATAACCAGAGTAAAAATGGACTGGAGGTGTGGCTCAAGTGGTAGGGCACCTGCTTTGCAAGTGTGAAGCTCTGAGTTCAAACCTAGTACTTCCAAAAAAAAAAAACCTTTTGAAATCCTAAGCTTGATTTTCTCCACATTGAGAAGCTACATATAAACATTAAAACTAATAAGCATGACTCAGTTTTCTTTAATTATTCATGTAAAAATATATTCAATTAGCAAGCACTTATGGAGCAGCTTCTGATTAAAAAATTGCTATTTAGACAAGAGGGCTACAGAAGTAATAATGACTGTGGAACGAGAACTTTCGTTCACCTCCACTTTCTATCTAGAACTGGACACTGATTTATTTCCTTTAATGATAGTTGCCCTCAAACCTCACTTCCAGTATGATTGTGCATGTCAGAATGTTAATTAAGCTTCTAAATTTTAAAACATCCATATCTGTATTTTTTTGTTTTTATTACAATGTTTAAAGGTGGTAAAACTTTATTGGACTCAGTAGGTTATGCTATTTTGCTGAAATTGCAAATACTTGTTTAGGCACATGCCTGTCCTCTATGAAGGGAAAGTGGTTGCACACTGCTGCTGGAAGCAAGAACCCACACACCCTGGTGTTTTGGAAAAGAACACTCTAACATTTTCAGTGCACAAGAACCCATTTTTAATATTATTTTTATTTATCCTGCTTCAAAACCTTAAATAATTGTTTCATTAAAATTAGATTGGTGCTAATTCAGTGAACATAGATATTATGGGCAATTACTTTACAAGCTGCTTTGGAGGATCGACTATAGGGAGGGTAGAGCAGGGCTTCTCAATGTGGAGAGGAGAGGACTTTGTTAGGACGCCCACTAGTGGGTGCTGGCATCACTCTGGTGCCCTGGCCCTTTGTCTCCACAGTGGTTAATGGATGCTTGCTTTATAATCATCATTACACTACGCATTTGTGTTTTACATGCTTCTCTGTATGTGCATTCTATTTTACAGTAATATGGGGGGTTCCCCAAATGGTAAAAAGGACCCTTAAAATGCAAAAGAAACTTTTAATTTTGTTATCAAAGAATTCCTTCCAGATAAGTTGAGGTTTCTTGGTAGCTGCCTGCTGCTGTCCTTTGCTTTCAAAACCAGATGTCAGAGTCCCAGATTTCCTGTCCTTTCAAGTTTGCCTCCTCCCTGGGCTGCAGGCAGGTAACACTCCCTTCATTAGTGGATATCAAAAAGAAGTACTGGGACTTGGTTTAATTTTGAATCAAGGATGAGAAGATCGACCATTGTGTATGAGCAACTGTGTTAGTCAGCTTTCTGTTACTGTAGCAAATAATGGAAATAATCAACTTACAGAGAAAAAAGTTTTACTTTGGCTCACAGTTTTAGAGGTTTTAGTCCATATCCATTGGCCCTGTTGCTTTAGGCCTAGTATGTCATATCATGGCAGGAGTGTGTGGTACAGCAAAACTGTGCATCTCATGGCTGGGAAGTGAAAGAAAGAAAGAAGAGACCAGGGTCCCATAATCCCCTTTAAGGGCCCACCGCCAATGACCTGAAGCCTTCTACAAGGCTCCACCTCTTAAAGATTCTATCACCAGCCAATAGCACTGGGCTATTGGCTTTTTCCTCAATATAGGCTTAACCAAGCGTTTAACACATGGGCCTTTGGAGGACACTACAGATCCAACTAAAGTAGTAACCATAATACAAAATCAGAGGCAGGAATCCATGTGGCATTTTCCTGCTTCCTCCCCCACTTTCCTGCTCGTAGTGTACATTCTAGAGTACTGAAGAGACTGAACATGTGGACTGAAATCATAGCCCTGTGTCACCAGAAAGAGGGGATTCTGCAGTCCCCTCCCCTGTGGTCTCTTCTGCTGGCACCAGATATATCTGGTGGTAGAAACGCCTGTGCCAGAGGTATGCTGTCATCCAAGGCTGCTCAGTGACAACTGGGGAAATGGAGGCAGCCACAGTCCACGTGGACTCTTGTTCTTTCCCTCTCATGCTGACATGAGTACCTTTTTGCTGCAGTAGGGCTCTTTCAGACATGGTGAAATTTTCTTTGTAATTCTTCCAATTGATTGGAAATTCTTGGGAGATTTTATGGATACAAATGTGGTATGGCAGGAATGCTACTTTCTAACCCTTCAGCTGAGATTTTTCAAACTGAATTATCTAGGGAGAAAAGCATTAAAAGGAAAGATGTTGTAACATATTTTCCAGTTTGGGGGATGTTCTACTTGCTACTAATAAACTAGAAAAAAGTTCAAAAGGCTCAGGGAGGGAGAGAAGAGGTTTCAAAAACTTGAAAATTTCATCTCTGTCTTTGAATCATGAATTCTGACTTCCAAATAGTAATTTTGGACTTAAAAGGGGAACTGGGGAGAAACTAGAAAAAAATCAGAGTGTAACAGAGGGAATATTCTCTGACTCTCAAGGGCTTTGCTTCAGAACCTGATGCTGAGCTGTGCCTCCATTGCTTGCCGTCCAAGGACTCTCAGATCTCACCCTTGGAATTTGATTCGCAGTGGAAATCAATAGTAAAGTCTCTCTTTCTTGGCTTCCATTTGCTCTCCTTTTTATTGGGGGGGAGGGGCACTTTAACACTGTCACTGCTGAACTCCTCCATGTCAGAGGTCTGATTCCTGATCTGTAACTCTCAAAGTTAATGGCATTAAACCCTTCAGAGGGCACATTTTGGTAATCATCTCTCAGCGGTTCCTTTTTTTTTTTTGGACAGTACTTTAAACGTACCACTTGAGCCATATTTCCAGTCCTTTTGCTCTGATTAGTTGGAGATAGGCTCTCACTTTTTGTCCAGGCCAGCCTTGACTACAATCCTCCTATG